TCATGTAAATACCTAAAACTAATAATTAATAAGCTTTTTTTTTTGAAATTAAGTATTTCATTTTTTTAAACAAATCATGTTGTTCAATCATGAAAAGTATCGAAAAATAACCAGAAACGCATATTAATTAATAAATAAATTTATTTTTCAGTCCAGTTATACTCTAATAACTGGGCCATGAATTAATTTCATAAAATTATAATTTGTGTTTAATTTTTCTTCAGGTTTTTGATGAAGTACATTAATGTAGTAAATTTCATAGATAAACTGTTACTTGAACGGGTTCAATTAATAGCTATAATCGTAAACCGATCGCGTGATGTGTAGTTTTTGTGGTAATGGGCATGACTTGGAGATTGCTAAAAAGTATAGAACGAAGACGGGACGAAACAGTCGAGTGGGAGCGAGATGTGTTAATTTTTTGGCACGCCACAGCCAGACCATTTAATTGTTCGAATCTAATTAACAGCGTGATTTTTATTAAGCAAAGCTTCTCGATCGACAATTGGTAGTCACGGGGCGTTTCTCGGAATAATCCGTTTAACGATGGAATAATTAATCACGAGATGCTTCCACTTCTGGCACCCCCTAGATTGGGCCACTCGATGCTGTTGCGTTCTCGACGGAAGTTAATTTGTTACCGGCACAATTTCCGAACCGATTTGACGGCAGCCCGTCGGTTCTGTGGCAGGACACACGCAAACGCTTTCCCGACGACCGCACCGCGTCCGCCACTTGCCAACATTATCTAAATATAAGCGTATCACTCCTACTTAGATACAAGTAAACTCGCTAATTCGATTACCAGCGCATCTCTTGCCCGCCCGTCCAACTGTTTTCTATTGTTTTTGTCTGACGCTCACGCCGACCCGCCTTTTCCTCACCGCGACTGGAGGCTTTCCGTCGGCCGGATAAACTAACCGAAACTTCGCCCTTTCCCGTATAATAATTAGTTGGTAATTTTAATGGATTTCGACAAAATCCAAAATTACATTACACATAAATATACCGAGAGGTGAATAAGCTCCATTAACGACTCGATTCGTCTGAATTATAAACCGTTCTTAGACTTTATCGTTGTAATGTAGGAACGCATTCAATAAAGCAGTTTATTTGTTAGCGAATCGTTACGTTTGAATACTAAGTAAATTTGTCGGTATATTATCACAGATCATCAAAATTATGCTTTTTATAAAATTTATCTAACTACAGTTCACAACGTACGATACAATGACTCTGTTTAGTATCCTGTTGGTTGGTGTACGTTGACATTTCTAAATTATACGTTAGTCGAGGAAATAATACATTACTCATAAATTCAAAGCAATGCTCGTACAGTAAATATAACAAATAAATAGTTTCGGTAAAATACCTACCTACCTCATTACTTTTAGTTTGACTGTTCTATGGATCGTTGTTTCATTTGGTGTATTACAAACGCACAAACCACGAAATTATGTACTACAATTGACTGTAATGATAGAGCAGCCATGGCATTATCGGCATGGCATGACACAGTCGTGCACCACGATCTTACGAATAAAAAATCATAATATAAATCGTGCTCATTTTCGTAGTCATTCAATAATCTATCTAGTTACGCTCATCTTGAAAATATTTGATAATTTTTAAGACGACACACTGTTAAGTCGATTGGCTTACTACACCTGCATCGTAAGTTTTGAGGTCGACACAAGTGTATTGTATATATTTTAATACATTATTATTAAAATATATACGATATACTAGATGGTGAAATGTAGTGAAACGTATTTAATAATCGATTCGTCCTTTGTTTTCCATTAAAACAAATCTCATTTGTGAAACCTTCACTCGAGTGGTTCTTCATGTTATTCTTACCACCTGCGAAACCGCCTCGAATGTACGCATGTCCTATGCAAGTTTCACGCAAGCACCCTAATTAAAAGGAGGGCGGTTGGGTTGGAAAGTTGGCAGAACAAGAGAACTAAAGAGCAACAGCGTTTCATTTGGCCGTTATACCATTTTTAACGGTCGAAAAGCAATCCGATGCTCAGTTACACGATGTGATTAAGAGAATAAGAAACGGCCGCATAGTTATCGACTTGATATCGTACACCGTGTTGTGGTAGACCATTAAGGTTAGTGTATGTTGCGGGCCCGTGCGAGCAGATTGTTACAGAGTTAAAATTTATTTTATGTTTACATTTTACGTTACCAACCAATTACCAGACTGGCGGGGATTGAACTTTCCTATAGTTTGTGGCTTATCACGCGAGTCGTACGCCATTGTGGTACCCAAACTATTAGCTTAACGACACTTTTCCACTTAAAATCTACCATACCGTTAACAATCAGACCTTTAGTTTACGATACAACCCCCCCCCAGGGGCATGCGTACTTAAAGGGGTCGTGCGTGCATTGTGTATGTATCCGAGACAAGATTTTTACGATGATTGCTCGTAGTCATATAATATCTAAGCCCAAGGGTGTAATGCACTTATAAAGTGTCNACGGGGCATGCGTACTTAAAGGGGTCGTGCGTGCATTGTGTAGGTATCCGAGACAAGATTTTTACGATGATTGCTCGTAGTCATATAATATCTAAGCCCAAGGGTGTAATGCACTTATAAAGTGTCTTTTAAGTTTTTTCGAATAGGACAGTACATTTTAAACATGANTCTTTTAAGTTTTTTCGAATAGGGCAGTACATTTTAAACATGATATTAAAAGAGCAGTTCTAAGTACATTATGTGTACTCGTAATAATTACTACAAATATTTACCCATACACTTTTATGATGCAGCTGATATTACGTTGTTACAGTAATTCTACCTGAGGATTTAATGTATTAAAAAAAAACAATCCAAAATTATGTAGGCCGCCTCGTTCTAATGAATGTTTGCCATTAAACTTTTACTGATTTAATTTACATTTTTTATTAATGTATTCATTCATATCAGTGCTATTGTAAGATTTATAAAAACTTTAACATTTAACTAGGTAGAAAGTTGAAAAATTATATCAATCTCTATGAAACGACCTATGAACGTGGGCAGTTATGGACACACGTAGATAAATATTAAATTACTCTCTAAATGATTACACCAGAAAAACATTTTGAAAGTAAAACCCGTGGTGTCAAGTTTACTGTACATAAACTTGTATCCCGTAGATTAATTTATTTTCAGTTTAAATAATCTGATTGCAAGTTGTATTACACATAGTTCAACCAAGTAATGCATTAAGTATTTTGCGTCCTGCCTTTCTATTGAGTTAAACGCGTATTTTATGTTCTATCACACACACTCTATCCCTTCACCCAGCCCAGTTATGCCGAGGCGGGATCAGTCCGCCCCTCGGCTGCCTGAGGTATACGTCGGAAATCGTTGCACGGTCTTGTTACTGACGCTCCGCCCTAACCATCGGCTATACACCAACGCGTTAAAAAAGCAACAAACGCACACACACACGCACACTCGGTCTCATCCACCGGATCATATCATACGCGTTGTGTGCATGCCCCTGGCGTTATTGAAGCGAGCCAACGGTATAAATTGTACGGCAACTAATAAAAACCACCGCCAGAGTACGAAGCATACGAAATAAAGTGGGAGAATTTATGAAACGGGCCGCGTATGTGTTCTGTATGCATAAATCGTAAACGGGCCAAAAAGGTTAGAACTTTGCGGCGGAGGGTTGCGCGTATGACGTTACACTGAGCGGACACGTAAAAAATGATATTTTACGATTTGGTACATTGCGCGGTCGGGAGTTATTTAAATATTATTATAAGCTCCGTCGCTTTTTATAAGAGGATTAAAAAACCCGGCAACGTTCTTCGACATGCACGTGCCCTCCCTTGACGTCAATATGCGGTAAACCCTCAGTCATAAAGTTCTCACACTTAAAACGCCAATGTTAAGAATAATATCGTTTATAACGATATTATTCATAACATTCAGGAAGATATTATCATCATCGCATATTACTTTTTCCCGGTAATATTACCGTGTAACATTTGTGGTAAGAGAATCGGTCGTTTTTATTTTATGATACAGTCGAACGCGAATATGAACTCTCTCAAGTGGTCAATAGCCGACTACCATGATCGTAATAAAAAACCCATCAGATATTGAATGTATTCGATTTTTATAGAATAAAAATGTGCCCGTGTGTTTTACCACACGTTTAGGCGGCAATCACCTCTAAAAAATTCTCGATTTTATTTAACAAAATCTATATTTTGGTACACATTCAATTTAATAAAAACATGATTTTTGTAAAGACAATCTACGCAGATTCGTTTATTTTTTTATTCTTTAACAATGTCCCTAACATAAATCACTGCAGTTCAATTATAACAGTAGAAAATTAATTTTTTATGAATCGCATAACATTATAAAAGAATAATTTTTAAGTCTTGACTGTCTATCTTTCTAAAAATCTTACACGGCCAATCTCTGCGGGATTGTTGATAAAAAAAAAATTAAAGAAACGAAAACTTTAAGAGCTACTCGCGCGCGGCTTCCCCTCTTTATTTCGTCCTCATGTTGTAAATATTCTTTACATATAGCGAACGCAAAACTTGGGTAATTTATCAAGTTTAAAATTACGTTATAAATGAAAAATCGAAAAATTCAAGAGAAAAAAATAAAGAGAGCGTTTTACGAGATTAAAATATGTCACATAACTTTGCTAAGTTGCACAAGTCAGGGGATGACGCGATTTCCTTTGATATCGCTGGTTAGCTGACGCGTACCGCTTTAAGTCATTCATTTTACTGGGAGTTTATACAAGTCACATATTGGTGTAATACATCGCTGTAGAATGTATATTAAAAAAAAAAACACCATCTGTTTTAAATGATTATCGACTTGTTTGTAAAATAAAAATAAAATTCGTTTTCGTTGAGCTTAATATTTATATCATTGAATTTTCTATTTTTAGACACTCAATTCAATAAAATGTTAAACGATATCGGTCAAAAATTATAGTTTTCATTGTTTTATTTTTCACAGGTTGTGCTGGTGGCTTACTCGGTACCCGTCGCATAGGACATCCATATCAGAATAGAACTCCTCCCAAACGGAAAAAGCCCAGGACGTCGTTCACTCGTAGTCAAATTTCTCAATTGGAAGAAAAGTTCAACAAGCACAGGTACTTGTCGTCTGTGGATCGGGCGGCACTCGCTAAATCTTTAAAAATGACCGACGCCCAAGTCAAAACATGGTTTCAAAATAGGCGCACCAAATGGAGGTAAGATATCATCGCAACATCATTTACTCGTGTAAACTAAATTATTATTAATATTAGAGTTAAGCTGCTGTTTCAAACACACTTTCCAGACATTTATAGTCAGCTAAGACAATTAACCTTTGACGCGATTAATTTCTATGACTACTTGTTATAAATGCCAAACTAATTGACGTTGTTATTACACGCAATCGTAATTTGTAATAATAATTTATTTATTTATATGTAATAGTAGTAGGTATCTTACAAGTTAACAATGTATAGCAAAAAACAAACTCATATTAACGGTCCACAATAATTAAAGAGTAATAGAAATTACGCCGTGTGTACGTGTTGACTCATTCACTTGTGTTAAAAATCAATTCAATTCTCAAAAATATTCTACGTTAAATTATTTATCAAATAATATTTCACTCGCTTGTATTTCTATAGTCTGAAAACACAGTTCAAATTTTAATTCATTTAGTCTTTGTCAATACATTCGGTAACACTCGCTAATTGTGATGACATATATCTTCGTTCGTTTTGCATGACAAGTTCTATTAATCTTCAAAAAACAAGTTTTAGAATTAAAGTATTAACTGCGATTTGCATTGATAAATATTGTTAGATATCTGTACGTTAAAATTATTTTTGATGGTTTTGTCTGTTTCCAACTTGTATCGCATTATCATATCGCGTTAAGTATTAACAACATTCATCTTCGTTATCGTCTTATTTTCGTCATTCAGTCATCAAAAATTCCTTCAAATTCATTATAAATAAGATAAAAATACTATAAAAAACATATTTACCATGCATCCAATTTTCAATATGGAAACTAATGATAATTTTTGTTATTTACGTTTCGAATTAATTATTTACATTGTGTGACACTAAGTTATACAATCTTCGCATAAGATTTATAGACGAAGCAGAAAAAGCTATAACTCTATTTTATTTCTTCATTTAATTGAATATGTATCGTTTTTTATAATTTAATCAGCTTATTATTTTGCTTATAATTTCTATAAACGCGAAGCTGTTATATTATTCAACGGACTTATCCGTGTTGGTAATTTTTACACTTGTTATAGACTGTAAAAAATGAACATACAAATGACATATGTATCACCCCTTTTGTCTATCGTCGATGTAATGTACCATTTTTTTAATAACAATATGGCAATTGAAACGTTTCACTATTATCGAATTGTTTTTGATTCATTTCATGTTTTCACCCCTTGCGCATGAAATTGACTCGTTAGACCTTATGTTGTTATCGTGTCGGTTGTGTGGCCCCAAACAATAACGTTATAAAACTGAGGGTTAACTACTAAAGTAAACATACACAATGTTCACTATATTGTTATAACATACACAATAAGTCAATAAAACGTGCCTACGTTTTTTCAAAAATTTTTATGGAAATATGCAGAGATTTTATAAATACTAATAGAATCAATAACGAAAAAACGTTTTAATGACATTGATAATCAAATTGCGAGAATGTTATTGGTTCGGAATTACACTTAATTATACTTTTATTGAACGTTGGACAGTTATTTAAACGCATAAAATAGCAATACGGTGTACATTATACATACAATTTGTGTATAAAAACGACAAATCGTTGTGGTGAGTTGCGGTACTTCAAAGACTGACAAAACTCGTAGTAATGAATATTATAATAATATATACAAATAACAGCAATAATAATAATAATAATAATAATATTGAATTCAGACGACAAAAACGCAATAAAAAGTGGGAGCAGTTCGAGAAAAAAAAAACAAAGTCCATTAGAAGCTTTTAAAATTCCTGTCACCTTTTCGGACCGTACGCTATTAAGTGGTTTTAATACAACACGTATTTTTTTTAGCTACGATGTTTGTATTTAGTTTTTAATTACACGTGTTCCGTTGGACGGTTAATGCATATTCCATGTAATCGGTGGCGCCCCCAGCGGCGCAGATAAAACACCGACGGACCAGTTGCCGTCGCCGCCACCCGACGTGTGTACCCTATTAGTTACTACCACTTATATGTATGTACCAATACACACACACACACACACACAACGGTCACTTAAGTAAACACGTATGTAATGTACGTCTGTATACCTTATAAATCGCCGTCGTATCATTACTATTTGGTGTGTGTACATTTTCTACTACTGCCGCCGGTCCGTTTAATGTTCACGAACACGCGGACAATAGGACGTGTTTTGTACACCTCCCCCGCCTTAATTTTTATTAACGTTGTAATTGTAAAACCATTTTATGTACGCCACAAGAAAACGATTATCGTTGAAATTTTTTCCACTGGCCCACGGTGATCGATCTCTTTACTTTATTCAAATCAAACGGGCTCGAACGGACCGTTTGAAACTGCTATACCGAAAGACCGACTGACTAATGGTGTGGCAGACGGGAAGAGACCTGTTCCGTGGAAGTGCTGAAGGGCTGTCGAGACACGGTGCGCGATAAGCGCTGACGGCGCCACACGAAGCGACAAAAATCAGACGGCTATTTCATTGGAGTAACGGTGTCAGATATTTACTTAGAGGACAATGACAGATTAAAAAAGGACACTAACAGAACTGGGGTATTAGCCCAGACTTGTACGACTAATACTCGTATACCTATTACATCAGCTACGGTTATAAATATATAATAAGGATTATTAATTTAAAAATAAGAGGTTGACAGACTTTATACAATACAGTTAAAACTGAGACGTATTTAGAGGTAATTAATTTTGATAGTATTCCGAGAACTCAATAAAGAAAATAGAATATTGTATTTAAAGCGATTAATACCTACTTAAAAAATGTAAAACTGTACATAGAATTGAAATAAACTAGTCTCGATAGAGTGGATACCACGTGGTGTGTTTACATAAATGCTGCACAGAGGTCATATGATATAGTTTGTTTCGAAATGAATTAAACAAATTGTTAATTTTTACAATTATATTTATTTTTTGTACCTGTCAGTAATGTTTATTATTTATAGTTAAAACTGTTATTTAGTTTGATTATTATAGAATAATTTTTCATTTCAGTATTTTTCAATACTGAGACTGCTGCAACCCACTTAAAATTTTATGCACATAACTTGTAGCAATTATAAATAAAAATGCATTTTTTTACTCATTGGGATATTATTTTATGGGTTTTAAACATATCTTCTCTGTTGCGTTGGCAGTTATCATACGATAATTTAAAATTAAAAAAAAAAAAAATTAGCATAATGTGATATTTGTATTAATTTTACAATACACGTATACATATTAAAATGAACTAACAATTCGACTCTTGTGTTTAATTTGACGGCGCTATTTATTTCAAATTTTGAACATGGAATTTTGTTTTAATAGTTTTGATAAAACAGAAATTTTATTTTTCAAAAATTTATGACAGTTTTAAGAAAAAATGTCGAAATTTACCGATTTTAAAAATTGTAATTTTTTGGGTATTTTCTCCATTTACAAACAACGAGGGAAATTGTTTAAGTGCAATGTCTTCAACTAGAAACAATTTGTGATATTTTGACGCCTCGTTGAAAAAAATCGGTCGGATGAGAGCTAAGAAAAAGTGGCGACAGACACACACAAAAAAAAAACACATAATAGTAAAATAAAGACCTTCTCAGCTTCGCATCGAAACTAAAAAAAGACAATTTTTTTTCAATACTGTATTTTCTTTGGTAGTAATCGAATGGCTTACACTAAACCGATCACTCTGTATATATATATATCACGTTTACAATATAAATAAAAGCTTTTCAGAAACATATTTTTTTTATTCTGTATAATCATTTTTTTCATACAGACATTATTCTAGTTATATTTTGTTTAGATCTTATAACATAATGACTACCAATATACTAAAACATCAACGACTAAAAGAACGTTTGTATTCTGCTTTAATATATTTTTAAATAGTTTTATCACATGCGTGTTCTGTTGCATCGTGTATTGACTTATATTGTGTTACTTGAAGTATTATAAAAACAGGCCGCGGTGGTCGGGCAACAGACGATTAATAATTGATGGGACGCGTTTTCACTTTTGGCGAATATTTATATAAATAAAAGGTCGAAGGAGGGTAGCAAAGTGTCCACACACACAGAAATCCGCTTTAACGTTTTAAAAACATCTAAATTATTCAAAGCGGCTTTTAAACTGTCAACTTTAACGTGAACCGTTTTACGAGCTCAAGACCAAAGCTACCAATACAAAATATCATTTCGTGCAATAGCCTCGTTACGCCCATTAACCGGCGACCATTGTTCACGTAATACGCTTGTTAGGGGCAAATACATTTGAAATATTTTAGTACCTTATTGTGGTTATTAGAGTATTTTAAATATTATTTTTGTAACGTTAAGGCATATGCATTCATTTTGCATAAGTCAATCTTCATATGCCATTTTTCGAACGTGTTAATATTATTATTAACACATTATATTAAACATATTTTGAGAATTACGAATAATTCGCAATGATTTTGTTCCAAATTAATATAACGAAAAATAAAAATAACGTTTTGCTTCAGGAGCGGTTTATATTGTGTCGTTGAGGGAGATGAAACATATTGGACAATGCGCACAGAGTTAAAATAATTACTAAATGGAATTTTATTGAATATTAAATGAGTTTATAATAGACACGTTTAATTTAACTGTGCACGTAGAGTCTGTATAGTAGAATATTGTACGAATTAAAAAATAATCAAATAAAAATAAGTGCTCTGTAATAACAAACGGTATTATATTATAATATACTGTCATATTTATACTGCTTCATTAAGTTTATCTAAAACGAACAAATAGTTTTGCGTATATTAGAAATACTTTTTTGATGAAATAAATATCATCTCTGGCTGTCGCTATCGATAGCGTTTTTACCACTTCCTATTTATCGAAGTATGTTTATATTTTTCTTAACAGAAGGCACATGATGGAAGAAAGAGAAGCTCAACGTCAAATGGCTACCAAAATGATGCAGTCAATGATGGACGACCGTGATGGTGGTGTTCGGCTGGGCGCCTTGCAAGGGTTACAAGCGTGGTCACCAACTGCCATGTCACCCGGAAGTGGAAGCGTCTCGGTTGGCGGCCCTACGTTGGTACAAGCACCTCAACCAACGCCAGGACATTTCTCGTTATCTCAACCTCCTGTCGCTTCACCCATGTGCTAATCGATCGCAGTCATTAACACCGTTGCTACCATTATTCACCAGTTGGATAATTGACTCTTTGAGTTAAGTGAAAGTACGTCTGAGTAATGTGTTATTTGTATAGCACGNTTCACCAGTTGGATAATTGACTCTTTGAGTTAAGTGAAAGTACGTCTGAGTAATGTGTTATTTATATAGCACGTAAGACAAATGTTCAACTATACGCTTTGTTTAATATTCATGAACGCTATATCATTTTTTTATGTTATTCGCGGTATGTGGTAGTGACGTATTGGCGAATGAAGGTGTCTGTTTTTTTTATTACACCTCCTTTCTCTGTGTACATAATGCCGTGACCCAAATGTTGAATATCGTTAAATGAACAATTTATCCACTTTTTATCACGAATACCTACTACGATTAATAACATAGTGTAAAAATATACAGGCATAGCTCAGAGTCCATTTTACTATTATATCTTTTTTAATGTTAAATTGAGTGTTGATTTAAGCAGTAACATAAATTATAAATGTATTTATTATGTGTACAGATAGATTATTAATAAAAGAGTATAACGTGTTTGTAAATAATTATTCTTGTATATATAACAATACTTTAATTATAGAATGTAATAATATAGTGTTAATGTAATTATATATTAAGACATAATCGTGTGTGCAATGTTAAAACTATTAGCTGCTGTTATGACCAAATAGTAGCCATTTGTAATTTTGTTTTCAATATGATAATTTTCATAATTTTTAGTAACATCATTTATTTTATGCATAATGAAAATAAAAACAACCGCTTTGTTAAAATATAACTGCATTTAATATTTATCAAAGATTATCTATTTCCACTTTAGTTCTTTTTGAAAATTAAATTACTATAAAAGACGATATTTTGTATGCACTTGCTATGCTAAAAGAATACCAAGGATCATTATTACGAAAATTCAAAATTTTCAGAATGTGTGAATTATGTAGACAATTTTTAGTAACTTATTTAGTGATATAAACAAATTAAAGAAATTATAAATCAAATTTTAAAATGAAAAATAAAAAATTTTAAAAATGCCATTTAATGGCATGATTAAATATAGGAATTTGTGTCATGAGAAGATTTTTTTTATAATATAAAATAAAACCCCAAGTTTTTGTAAAAGAATACTTGATGGATAATAAAATTTTAACACTATAATAAATAAAGAAAATTTTAAATATTATCTGTTAAAATATTGTTGAAGAGAAAATAATACTTTGGTTAAATTATTTTAAATAATTTTTTTTTAGTCACGTTTTGCTGTACATTATCATTTTCATCTTATTAAATCCAATATAGTTAATATAATAATTTAGTTCTATTAGGATGAATAAATTTTAGTACGTATCAAATAGAATACCAAGTTTACAAATAATTTAAAAATAACTATAATACTAATGATTATTATAGTGATAATTTTTTTTTCCATAGGTGTTTTGACTAAATTATTAAGCGTGACTAAGTACTTTGTGTGAACATAATTTAGCAATATACAGCGTGACTATAGATTTTTTTAATAATCACTTAATTTTAACTATTTTCTGTATCTATTATTATAAATATAAAAAATTATTTTAATATACAATAGCTTCTAGAATGTTTTTATCATACATTTATATTTGAAAATGAAATGCCCCAGGTAATAATATTCAAATATCTTTTTTGTTGAAGTCATTAATTTTATTTATGTTAAAATAAGTTATGATTAAGTAATTCAAATCAAAACTTAGAAACCGAAACTCATTGAAAATTACTAAATCGAGCCCATATAAAACCTAAAAAATAAAACTTTCAAAACCGTTAACCTTCACCGAAACCAAAATTTCAGCATTATTTTTATCACGATATTTGAGTTTTTGAAGGATGAATCTTTATTAATCAATTATATATTTACATACACTTATTATTTTGAAATGTATTATTATTTTTATTCAATATTCAGTTATCATTTTTGATTTAGAAATTATTAAGACTAGAAAATAGTAGTTTTTCTTAGAAAATATGACCTGTTTTAATGTTTTTTGACAAAAATATATATGTTATGATTCTTTTATAACCATGACTCATAAAATCTAGCATTTACATATTATTTTTGTAAGGTTCTAGTGTTTCTTATGTAAGTTATAAATTTGTTTCAAAAAAAAAATAAACTATACAAATAATTTTATGATCATATTTAAAAATTAAGGTGATATATTTATATATGTTTTAGTAATTTTTCGGATGATTACCTTAATAGAGAGCACATTTTTCTGTCACATGCTTTCATGCTATTGCAATACGCTCACGTGTGGCCATCTCCTTGACAGTTCATACATTGAAAGCTTGTTTATAGTATGAGAGCTTTCACATAATTAAAGCAAAGAAAATTTATGTAAAATACGTCATTATTTTTCAAAGCATGCTCTAAGTCAACAAAAATATAGGTAACGGTATTTTAGATGGTTGTAAAGAACATTTGTTATATTGTGAGCCAGAAAATCATAGTTCCCTAGTTTTTCTTTTCCATACTCTAATGGATTGTTGGGATGGAGGATTCTGATAACTACTCGGTAAAATTTTTCGTCATTGAGTTGAAATGAAAATTGCAAAAACAAATAAAAAATTTATTACATAAAGTTAAATAAAAAACAATTACGATTTAAATATATCCCAAAAATTGAACATTATTGTTAAACAAATAATTGAATACTTGAGAAATATAAATTTTTAATTTTAAAGAAATATTTATCAGTTTTAAAAAGTGAAGTAAACGAATCTCATCAAAAACCTTACAAAAATTGATTATTTTAATTTTTTGTTTGATCCATTTTCTGTTTTTCTTTTATTTTATAATTTCTAATTGGTTAACTAGTGTTTGAATAATTTTACTGAAACAGGTAAAAATGAACTATTATAGTAAAATATCTATTGTTTTACTAAAAATAATAATTTTTAATATTATAACTGTTTATACAAATGACGAATTTAAACAGAATATTGAAAATGAAACATCTATAACTATTGACGATTTGAATAAACTCATCAGAGAATATCCTGCATTTATACAGTTAAAATTACAAAAACAAGATTATTACACAGGTAAAGATATAGCTCGTTGTCCTATGCCTTACAACGAAAATACTATATTAGATGATGCCGATGTTGTGACGGCTGAATTATTCAACCCAAGGGAATGTAAAAAACCTTGGACATGGACGCGAAAAAATGAATTAGAAGTTCCTGTACCTATTAATGGTACTGTTGGTAAAAAATTAGGAGAAATTATTCGACCATGTCTTAAGAACAATACTAATATTATACAATGTTATACTCACTATCTGAATGTTATCGAAAGCGTTGGCTTAACATTTGTAGACAGATTTTGTTTGTTTCAAATTGAAATTTGGGATAGAATTTCAGTAGTGGTTAAAAATATAGATTATTCTGAAAAATTTAGTTTGTTTAATATTAAAATTAATGTTCCACGACTTGCCTTGATTTTAGCTAATTTTAAACAACTTTTAAATAATATATATGTTGCATTTACACAGTATTATATTTCTACTCTTCCTCTTGACTGTATTGCGAATTTTACGTGGAAAATATGTACTGATAAAAAGAATAATGCATACTACCAACAAATAGGAAGACAGTTATCAATTTGTCGAGAATTAATGAAATCAAAATTAAATTATGCTGTATTAGACAATATTGAATTCTGGAAATGGGATATTACATCTGATTGCAAACCTGAAGACATTTTATTAATGACCATGCAATACAAAAGTAATAAACTAGGATTAAATCTATTTCCGGACAAGGAAATAGACAATAAATAATTGTAAATATAATATATTTTGTTAAATGTTGTATTTAAAAATTTTATGACAGCGATGATTCTAGCAATAAAAATTATTTCTTTAAATAATATCAAATTTAAATTATTAAATTTAAATTCATATCATAGTGAAATACTCTATTTATTTTAATGTATTTTCATTAATAAGTAATTAAATTCGTATATAATATACACATGAAAATGAATAATAATGTCTATCTATGAATAAGCTTGCACAATTATATCAATATCAACACCATAATTAAGTAATATTGAATTATAAGTATAATGTATCACAATTGCATATCAATTTTTATGTTATACGCCTTATACTTTGTGATTANAATTGCATATCAATTTTTATGTTATACGCCTTATACTTTGTGATTATTTTAATGCTAATATATCGATTATACACAATATTATTAAGCAATTTATGTGCAAACAGTTGTATAATGTTAAGTGATTGAGATAGTGAAGAAATCGAACAAATTTTCAAGAGGTAAAGAATTTTAGTGGCATTCATAGGGTTAAATAAGGACAGATCCGATTATGACTATTATAATTGAACTTGTAGTATTGGTACTCAGCCTTACTAGGAGCTTTTTAATCACATTTTTTTTTTTTTTTTGGTTATGATTCACCAATAATACGTTTTACGTAGATCCTTCTTATTATACAGGGTGATTTTTTTATCATCACCCACTCAATTACTTGCAGAATAATAATAATTTAGACAATTTTTTTTTTCATTATCTTTAATTACACATTATTCTTGAATTTTTAACTATGTAATACTTTTTAAGTTCATCCCTTATGCCTTGGAAGGGGTCAACTTTGTTTTTTTAAATCGTAACACATATTTTTAATTTAATAAAATGTTTGAGTTTTTAATTTAATAGTAAATGGCATTTGAATTTTTAATATAACTTAATTAGTTTATTAGATATAATCATTTAAAGTTTCAAATTTTTGAATTAATATACAGGTATAATACACAAGGGATTACAAATACAGGTAGCTAATTGGTTTTTTATAACATCGATATTAGCAGGTACACAGCATTGTTATTATCAATTGTAGTAAGGCACATTGTTATGAGTATATAAATACACTAACTGACAATACAGAAAATATATCTATTGATAATCATAATTGATAATAAACAATCCGTGACTGAGACAGCAATGTCATAAAAATCCAATTAGCTACCTGTATTTACAATCCCATGTGTATTATACATGTATATTAACTCAAAAT